TTATCAATAACTTCTTTGTGGATTATTCCAATTTCTTCACTATATTTCTGTCATTATTCTCATTTCATCCATATATAATGTGTGATTTACTTTTGTGATTTTCTCTTCGATGATTTGAGAAATTACATTCATCTGGATGATGAAGAGTAGAGGGGATAAGGAATCACTTGTAAAATTCCTTTATTTAATTTAATACATCATAGATATTCATTATATTTATAGCCGATGAATATCTTCCATTTAGTCATCATACTTTCAATTATGTCTATGATGACTCCCTCATAATTAAAATATTTTAATGATTCAATTACACATTCATGATTTGTTGTGTCATATGTTTTCTTAATGTCATAATATGACTCCACATATTTTGGGTATTTCTCTTCTTTCTGCTGCTTCATCATATAACTATTTATTATTCCTTCTTTAGCAGCTAAAGATTATAATTTACATCCCAATTGGTTTCTACTGATTTTAAATGATTCATTATTCATGTTAAGTCTTCTGTGAATCTTTTCTTTTAATATGGAAGTAAATACTTTCATTATTACATTTGTACAACTGATATGACGATAATTAGTGACATCATTCATATCAATTTGTGGATTAGTAAAGTTCTTCCACTTACCATATCTAATGGGATGTTTTGAATGAAGTTTAACCATTCATTGAAGATATTAAGAATGATTTCTCTTGATGATGATATCCTTTTCCAATAATACTAATATATAATGTCTATTCATGGTGTTTTCCAGTTACTTATTTTCATTATACTTAAATTTATTTCATTTATTGTTATTATGACATTATCATAATTTCTGTAGCTTTCATTCCATGAGGTGATTTGTTTTATTTTCCAATTCTCTTAATTTAATATCACCTGTGTTTCATATAACATTTCCAATATTCTAAAGTAATATCGTTATTTGGGTATATTTCATTCTTTATTTCTTCCTTATTCTAATTTTCTTATTAGAATCAAACATTATTTTATTTGTATTGATTCTGACCCTTTCTTCCTTATTGAATTTAATTCTTTAATCATAGCCATCATATATTTTGGGTACTTTATTCTTTCTAGTGCTTTAACTTTTATTCCTTCTTCATCATGTTCATTTAATTTCATGATGCACTTGATTCTGTACAATTTCATTGACTATATCTTCTAGTCTATTAATTTTCTTCAGGATTTCTTTTATTTCATCAAATTTATCTCTTATTATTTTATTTTGGAGATAAAAGTGCATAATCATTGAAATCCTCTTCATATCGTCTTGCATATAATCCTGCATTCTGCTTCCTGACCATATCCATCTATTATTAATTTCCATTATTAATCGATCAGCTTCGTTTCTTTGAAAGTAGTAATTAATGTTTGTACATTTTTCTATTTTCATTTTTTTTTTTTATTTTATTGATGAGAGTGTTAAGATATTCTTCATCAATTTCTGTAGAGTTATTCTTTAATATGATATTTTTTATTATTGAATTACACTCTACTCTTCCTTCCATTATATCATTTACTTTCACTTTAATGTGCCATTTAGTATTTTCTTTTATTTTATGTGACATTTTATTATATTTAATATATTCTTTTTCATTATTGACATTGATGTTTATTACTTTTATTATACTTTCAATTTGTTCCCATCTTAGTTTCTTATATAATTTCTTATTTAACCAATTAATTGCAAAACAATACAACACTTCAATTAATTTTCTATTTCTTTGTTTTGTTGTATTTCTTGTCTGATTATCATCTCTTGTTTTTTGACAATCATTGCTTTGCTTTCCTCTTCGATTTCAACTACTGTCTTTTTCATAGGAGTAGTTTCGTTCATCTTCATCGTTCCTGATGATGCTTTCCTCATTACTGGTTGTGTATTTATCACAAGTGTCATCATTTTCGTCTTCTCCAGTTCCTTCTGTGAGATAAAATTTTCAATATCATCTTGTTGTTTTGATATTATTTGTTTTTGTGCTTCATTTTCTTTTTATGTGTTGTCTAATTCTTCTCTTGTTATTTCTGCAGTCTCATGACTTATTATTGCTGCTTGTTGAATTTCAGAGATTTGTTTTTCTTTATCTCTTAGTTCACTCTTCATCTCCTTAACTTTCTTCTCTAGTACTTCCGATTTTTCTCTGGCACACTATTCTTCTTCTCCAGTAATTCTCCTTTTTTCTTCAGCTCTTCAGTTTTCTCCTTCTGCTCATCCTTTTCCTTCTGTAACTTCCCTTTAGTGGATTTTATACTTCGAATGGTTTCTTCGTTGTTATTCATTTCCATGATTTTCCTTCCTTCTATCTCATTTATTTCACCTTGTAATTTTATATTTTCTTCTGTTAGTTTTTCATTTTCTTTCTTCTTTTCATTATAATTCGTTTGGACTTTCTTAATTTCTTTTTTCT